GAATCCCTTTCCCGAGATTTTCTAGCTCTGTAGAAACTTCAATCGAGCATCGAACAAAAAGTCAATTGCACCTTCTCGTTATTTTAAGTTCTCTGGCTGCTTCGGTCTATGATAAAATGGTAGTATTGGCAGAGTTTAGCAGTTTTTCTTTATGCTAAACTATCAAATTCTGTTAGTTTACAGCCAAATTTTAACAGAGTGGTGAATCCATTTCCCGAGATTTTCTAGCTCTGCAGAAACTTCAATCGAGCATCGAACCAAAAGTCAGTTGCACCTTCTCGTTATTATAAGTTCTCTGCCTCTGCTGCGCGCTTGCTTAAAAAAAATATTATCTACAGTTGCGAGCAATGAAATAGTAGTGGATACAAAATATCAAGCCATTTTAATATCGATTGAAATGCAAGAATGGAGCATTTCCCAAGCAATGTATATTTATGAATTTTGCCATAATTAAACAAATTTTAAAGGAACAGGGAAGAATGTTTCTGAAGTTGCATCTATACAGAAATTTAGTACTTGGTAGCCATGCTTTTTTTTTTATACACCATCTGGGTATGTAGATAAAGTCGCGGAATCTTATGCGAGATGCGGTAACCAACCAGTGTAGAGCCTTGGTACATGGTTGAAAGAGAGGAAGCTTCCGACTTTTCACCAGAGATGCGGCTGAGAACGGACGTCGGTCTTGAATGTGTAAAGATTTTAAAGCTTACTCGCCTAGCGAATTCTCGCGGTGGATTTTAGACCTTCAGTGAATAAGTTAGTAATCTCTACTACGGGTTAGGGGTTCAAGAATTTACCCGCAGTAAGGCATGCCTGTCGTCAGAGGCGACTAAAATCCAATAGTTTACGCAACGGGCGAGCCTTTATTTTTCAGCGGCATGATCTGTCTGAAGTCACTGCTTTGTCTGATCCAAATGGTGTGATTCGGGTCATAATCCTGCTGGTATATGCATTTCAACATCTCATTCTGTTCAGCAAATGATAAAATAATATTTTGTGTTATATCCACGTTTGCGTATTTGCCCATTATTTTACCAATCTTGCAAATTGGGTTCACAGCTCTATAAGAAACACTCGCACTGCCATGTTTAAAAAATTTTGTGGGGAAATTGGGGGTCGTACTCTGTATTAGGAGGGCGGCCTTACATACTGAGTGAGCGTTTTACCGCCATTTAGGGGATGGTTTTCCTTTATGGTTCCAGAATTTGGGAAAATTGAGTTATAGGGGGTGGTAGAGGGTTCCACTCTCTCTCAGAACCCGAAAACCAAACCTACCGGAGACCTGTTTTCGAGATATTTACAGTTGAAATTGCAAAAAAAATTTAATTTTTACCCTATTATTTTGTACATAAAGCCATTACTGTGAATTTTGGTGCTGCCACATATAAAAAATAAATTCTAAAATAAAACAACTAGAATACAATTTTTAAACTTTATATGTATATTTGAGGACTCCTAAAATCTTTAAGAAGGCATCTTATCTGTTTTTTTTACTTTTTCACATGTAAAGTAATGTTGAGGTACTTTTTTCTTGCCACCACTGTACATAATGTGCAATGTGAAGCACACATTACTACCCCTTCATTTATGCATATACAATTTAGCGTACAGAAAGTGTATATTGCTTTTGTAAATAGCAGCTTTATGTAATTAACGGATGATTTATTTATTTACAACTGCATTTTGTAGATAAATTCCTCAGTTACAATAACAAGTGTCACAAGCATTTAAAGCATACATATACATATGTACAACGAAAGTGGCCACCTGTAATGTGACTAACATACAAACACACACCTGTGTCACAATTGATCACCGCACACAATCATCCCTCTCTCCTAAATCATTACATTATACATACATATGTATACAATAATGTAAGTACATATGTATGTATGCACGAAAAGTAGACAAAAAATGCACTAACAACCACTTAAACATTCTGCAAGTTTAATAATGCATTAACAGTATTGTTTACGACGATTTTTGTTAGGCATAAATTCTTTCATATTTGCACACACCTTTAAAACTTTATCCATTGCTAGTCGCTCAAAGCCAATTGGCATCAACAAAATTACTTTAAACAATATATAAATGTATATATGTATGAGCTATGCAAGGCTTATCCGAATATTTATTACTTCACTATTAGGCACTAATTTTCGTTTTCTATTTATAAAAATTTTCAATTCGATTTTAAGGAATTTAATAAAAACAAAAATCAAAACAAAAACGCGTCCGAAAATCGCGTTGCGCATTTTTTCGGATTGGCTTGTCCGAAAATCCACAATGCAACACTGCAATGAAGTGTTGACAAGGAAACTTTTTGCTCCTGCTACAGGGTGTAAGCAAAGTCAAAAAATATAAATAAGTAACAATTGTGCTTATTTATTAAACTAAAGTTTAAACTAAGCCGCCTCCGAACGGCTGATTCTTTTTTATGAGGATCTTTATTCCATGCTTTTTTATGAGGATCTTTATTCCATGTCTGAAATATACTCGGAGGGGTTGACATTCCCTACCGAGGGGCGACCGCAATTAAAAAAAATTAAATTGGTTTTTATATGTTATTTTGTTTTCTAAAACTTTTGAATGTTAGTCGGAAATGGATTTGAACCCTGGCCTTCTGGATGGCAGTACGGAATGCTAACCACTCGCCTAGTGCGGCCGCCATTGTCGTTGGAATAGGAAAAAAAATAAGGTTACCTATTGACCTTAATGGGATAAAGTCGCCGAAAAGGTGGCATCAACCCGCAACAAACGCTGGACAAGACGGTTGGCCGAAAGCCATTAAACGCCATTCACGGATAGTTCGTAAGAAAGGGTTTCTGAACTGTCTTCTAATGAATAGTGTTCTAGGAGTTAGAACACCAACTATTGCATAGGAAGACTTCGAGCTGTCTCGAGATTCCCGCATAATAGTGGTGCAACATAGATATGACTATGATAGACTTGACCCGGACATACATAATATGTCGTAGGATTTTCCCGATAAATCAGTTTCGAACTTAAATTTCAGTTTCGAACTTAGATTTCACTATATTTATTTTGATAGAATTTCAGAGCTTTTTCGGCAAACTTTGAGAGTGTCACGTCATTACTCGAGAGAAAAAGTAAGTTTCTTTATTCTATAATCAAAGCGTAATAGAAGAACAATATTGGCATATATAAATTCATATTTTCAATTGTACATATTTATTTAGAAATACAATCAATGCTCATTAATATTGTGCAGTATTTTGCTGCGCAGAAACTTTATATACATTTTTTTAGAGGCAACTAAACACATCTCGCATACTTCAAATCAGTGGCAACACGCATTATGTCCGTTGATATATTCCGAAAACCGCGTTCGAAGTCAGCTTTCAATTTTTATTCAATTTTGTTAAACAATTTTCAATTCATTTTAATTTTTCCGGAATTTCTCTTAAATAATTTCAACACTCGTTATGCGACCACCCAGAAAACCAGGTCCGAAATCGAGACGACAGAAAGGTAGTTCGCTACTTGGAGATACGGATACTGATTCCACACCAGAAAGGCTTTCAAGTTTTCGTACACCACCTAGAGATGTAAACTTGACAGACTATAATTTAGATATAAGCGGTAGTAGCGGTACTAGAACTAGATTCGGCGGAACAGCTAAGGTGACATCAATACCTGGACGTAGTACAAGAATAAGCGCAGCAAAAACAACAGCACTTGTACCAACTGAAGCTCCAACTACTAGCATATGTTCGATGATCACCACAATTCGCAAGGAAACAACCATCAAACGCAAAACACGTAAACAAAAACAACCAAAGAAAGCTGAATTTCGAAAACTTTTGAATCGTACAGATTTTATGATACCGCGAGCAGCTTTTGCGCGTCTTGTGCGCGAAATAATGGTTAGAGAAACCACTGATGTCACACACTTAACACAACTGGCATTAGAAGCTCTGCAAACATCATGCGAGAAATTTATTGAGAATCGTTTTGAAGATGCATATTTGTTGACTCTACATGCACGGCGCATAACGTTGTTGGTGCGTGATTTAGAGTTGGTTAATTTTTTACTTGATAAATGAGAGATGTTGATCGTTATTTTATGTTTATTGTTTGTTCCATTGTATGGGCTTAAACATTTTATTGGTTGCATGTATTTTAATAGTATAAGCTAAATAGTATTATTACCAAGAGAAAGTTTTTAATGTATATAAACAAATATATATGTCCATATAATAAATTTCTTTTCATAATTAATGCAATATGTAAGCAAAAGGGAAGATATTGCAGAACGTTTTTTTAGATAATAAACTTGAATTTTTATTTGCAAATTGCGACTGAATTGTGATTTATTCCATCATATACATAGTTATGTATGTATATTACATCAATATCAATATGAAATGCTGGTTTATTCTAATACCAATAATTTACTTGAGAATTTAGAAGTGTTTAAATTCAATCACCTTTCATTCGATTGGTACGTTCAGCTCTCAAAAGCTTTTCCAATGGAAAGTAGCAGATTTGTGAGCTCGCGATTGTGGTCAACGAAAGAATCAGCGTTGAGAGAGCGCGTGTCTTATGATAGCTGTATTGATCTCCGAAGCAGTTGTCCCTTACAAACCATTAGCTCTTTCTTTAAAAAAAACACACACAATTTCATTTGATTTTGAGTTTGAAACTCATCATTTTATTTATTTGGCCAGCGACTATGAAAAAGGTGGTCAGTCACTAAACTAAATTGTAGGTACATGCATACATAACATACATATTCAGTTATTTAAATAATTATAAGTTGTAAATGAAAAGAATAAAACTAGAAAAATATTTCATTTTTGCATATGTATTAGCATTGAATTACGAGTGTAGATAGAAAATATAGTTTTTGCAGCACAAATGTATGTCGTTACTAGCACAGGTCATCGAAGCCGTGATATAAGCTGCTACTTCCAACAACTTTTAAATTTCAAATTGACAAAATTGAAGCTCTTTTATTCGCAGTTTTTGTCGCTAAAAAGCGTATTTAGCGTAAGATGCGCTAGTACATAGGTAAGATTATAGCATATAATTATAAAATATTTGCAATAATGGGTTTTAATTATCGAAATGAAATATTTCACCATGGAGGCATGAATTTTTTCTTTTGCTAATTTTCTTAATTTTTACGGATTTTTTTTTGTTTTTTTTTTTGCTTGAACGCACAATAATCTTTTTGCTACATGCACACATAGCAGATTTATATGAAAAATATCGTAAAATACATACAAATTTATCTACATATTACTAATATATGCTTTGCTTCTGTTTCTGCTTCTGCTTTTCTAGCAAAGTTTCAACTCTTTATATATGTATATAGTATGTAAATTATATGCAACTGCAGCTGAGAGCTGCTGATTTTTTTTTTAATACATACATATATAGTATAGCAGCACGTACATATATAGTTAAATAGCGCTTCCATTAGTTAACAACCACTTAAGAATTAAGATTTAAATTAAGTTTAGAAGTAAAGAAAGAAAAAACAAATTAAATAATCAAAAAAATTAATAGTAATAAAAAGAAAAGTCAGCAAATGAATAATTTCATAAAAATTTCTTATAGCTTTACTTAGATTTTAGAAAATTTTAATTTTAATTTTAGTTTCTTTGCGTTTTTTTTTTGTCCTCAAATTACGCTAGTCAACAGTTTAATTGCCTTTTTTTTCTTGTTTTATTTGCTTCACGACTTGCCACATGCATTATTCAGTTTCCAATTTTTTATTTGTATTTTTTGCTTTTTCTGTATTGACACGGAACAATTTCTTAAAATCTTACATTGTTGAATGTTTCTTTTGTTGCGGTTATTGTTGTTGTTGTTTTTGTAGTTGCTTCCTTTTTCTAATAATTACACAATATGCATATTAAATTCTAATGCTGCTTTTTGCTAGCCTGCCGCGCCGCCGCCTTTCGATGATGTGTACCGCCATTCTTGTCTTGCGCCGCTGTCGCGCCACTGCCAGCAGCTACACCACCAGCTGTCGCTGCAACGCTCATACTCATACTGGTTGTTGGCGCATTTGTGCCTTGACTAACAGTTTGCGGCGCATTCTTGCCGGCGTGTGGGATGGTGAAGAGATTTATATGCAGATGACTGCATATCTCTAAACAGACCTGTAAGGAGGGAGTTACAACGGAGGTGAGTAGAGGAGTATAAAATATATATATATGTAGTACGTAAAGAAAAACACTCTTAAATGAATAGTATTGAGTACACGCCATGCGAGGATCGAATCGAGCCTAACATTTTTCGACTGTCTCTACTCAAAGGCAACGAGATCACTCTTTCTACTGTGGTCAAATAACTAGTTGGGTAACAGTGCAGACAATGAGTTGTAGTCCTACCTCCATCTTCGGGAAAAGAAAAGTACCATTTAAGCTTGGCTTTCGCCAGCAAGGCTAGTAGCAGATGGCTGGAGAGGAAGAGAACAATGCCTATACTTCTAAACAGGACCTTTAATCTAATTGCGACTCATGCTAGAAGAATAGGTTACTTCTCGTGTGACTTCTGCTGCAGCAGCTGGAGGGACGTAAACGACTAATTTAAAATTAAAAAAAAAAAGTTCTGATAGTTCGAAAAGTACCCAAAAATTGTTTCGGATGTTCGAAAATTACTCAAAAACAGTTTCGAAAGTTCGAAAATTTTCCAAAAAGTTTTGAAAGTTCGAAAATTTCCCAAAAAAAAGTTTCGAGAATTTCGAAAACTTTCCAAAAAAGTTTCGAGAAGTTCGAAAAATTGCTCGAACGAAAAATTTAAAAAAAAATGTTTTCAACAAAGGTTTGGAAAAGTTAGTAAAATTTCTCAAAAAGAGTTTCAAAAAGCACAAAAAAAATATTCTATAATACAACACAAATTTTGGAAATGTTCGAGAAATTAAATTAATAATTTTTAATTGAAAAATTTAGAAATGTAAGAAAACTAACTTAAGCTTGATAATATTAAGAAATTTTGAAATTAATTTTACAGGCCAAATTTGAAAAACTATTTCTTTGGTGAAAAAAATGCAAATTTAAAAAAAAATTCAAAATTTCAAAAAAAAGTACAAAAAAATTTTTCATTGTTATTCATTGCAAATAAATTATTCTTCTTTGAAGCGATGAATTTGGTCAAAAATCCCAAACTTCGAAAAGCTGCAAACGGTTATAATTTCCAAAGTTGCCTCATCAGTTGATAGGAGAAAGAGAGAGCAGCGAAAACTGATATTGTTTACAGAAAATGAGCTCAAAAAATGTTTTGTTGCATGTATTATTGCTATTGTTGTTGTAAACGCGAACATTTTTTTTTACCAAATGTGGTTTACGGGTAATAATGCGAGAGTAACAATGCTTGGCCGTATAAAATTCCAGTATAAAGACTCATCTGTAGCGGACAACATTGGATTCCAGACCAGTGAATTACGACGTTTGCAGGCGTTACAACAATAAATTTTTTCTCTCTATCTCTATTACCTTTGAGCAGTAACGTATGAGATCTTGTGTGCCCCAAATGAGTGAGAACCATAACAGCCAAACCTCTGGCACCACACAATTGAAATATTGATTGAAGAACAGCAATGCTGGACCCAATTGTGACCAATCCAGATACTCCATTTCCGCCTTGGTCATATGGGCAATCTAAATGTGAAAAAAAATATATATATATATTTATTTAATACATTTACATTTGCATGTATATATGCATACATATGTGTGTGTACTCACCACCAATTTATTGGTGACCTTGGCCGCTACCATACCAAAGGCCAATATATAGAGCGATGCATGTTCGGTGAAAATATTTTGTGGTGATTTTTGAGCAATTATCAAGGCGGGTAGTATAACCAAAGATAACGGTATGCTAGGCGAAAGTACGCTGGTACCCTTGGTGTTGTTGTTGTTGGGGTGAGTAGTAGTGAGTGTAGTAAGTGGGCGGCGAGCATTGAAGGAGTTTGAAATGAAATGTATAAATATTAGTTAAATATAAACAAAATTTTATTCAATATATTAAAATATACACACACACACACAATCACAAGAGACTTGAAGAGGCGTGTTAGAAAAAAAAAAAAAAAAAAAAAAAAAAACGAAAGTAGTGCCACAGCGAATTGCATAATAATTATACATAGTACATATACATACATATGTATATATATGTATAATATATTTACTTATGTAAATTACATATTTATATATGCATATTCCATATTTATATAATTAATGCAACAATACTTTCGTTTTTATGTTTTTTTTAATTACTTTTTTTTAATTTTTAGCGCAAAAAAATATTTATTATATTATTTTTATTTTCAATTTAGCAGTGTTAAGACAGAAATACTTTTTTTTTTTGGACTTTAACTTTGTAGCTACTACATACTATTTATTTTTTTTTTTATAATTTTAAAGAAAAATTTTATTTAAGACAAAAAACTATTTTTGAGTAATTAAATTTCCTTGATTTTGTGTGGAGCGTGATTCACGTGAAGTTAACAGTAATAAAAAAATTTTGCTTTAACCAGTGTAAAGTTGATAAGAACGAAGAAGATATATGTGAAGAGTGGTGCAAAAGAATTTTTTTGTTTTTGTAGGCATTTGAGGTAAAAAAACTTAGAGGAATGCGATAGTGAGCAACTAAAAATGGATGGTGGGGGAAAAAAAATGTTACACAAAAATACTATTTTATATACAAATGCTAAAATTTCGATAAAAGTGAGGTTATGTTTGTGCGTCATATGAAATATAGTAATAAATGTACTAAACTTGTATAAAACTAGCAAAACAGTTTACTACTTTTAACTAAGTACTATTTTTTTTTGAATTGTTTTAGTTAATAAATATAAACTGTTAATTAACTATGCAACTTGTAAAGCTACTATAATATTATTAAGATTCTAAAACATAAAAGCAAATAAATTTTTAATGGCATATACCAAAATAAAAAAAATTATAAAAAAAAAATTATTTTTAAACTAAAATTTATGTTTTAAAAAATGCAGAAAGAATACGAAATAAATTATTAGCAGCATAAATAAAAATTATTAATAAACTTTCACATAAAAAAATGGTGACACAAACAAAATGTATTTTTTTTAAAATGGAATTTATGTATGAAAACCTCTCCAACGACACAGGACATCATTTTCAGACCAAACAAACCGTACAATTACGACGAAACCGTTGAACAATTGATGAGACAAACATGGAATACATATTTATGTATGTATGTATGTAAGTATGGGCAGAATGAATGCGGTTGAAATTGTGACAATACTACACGACTAGTTCTTAAGACTACCACGAGCGCGAAGAAAAAAGCCAACACTTGAAGCAAATTAACAGTAAAAATAACTTAAATTCAAAAAATAATTTAATTAACTAATGTGGGAGAGAATATGTTGAGGGAAAATTGAAAAAAATAATAATAATAAAAAAGATTTATACCCCGTTCAGTAAGAAGTACAACAACAACAAGAGAATATTTGGTAAGAAAATTTAGTTTTGATATTATTTTTAAACTGCTATTTTTTGTGGCAGTTATTTCAAATTTTTTCAAAAGCAATATATTTCAAAAACAGTTTTTTTTTTTTGAAAACAATATTTTTCTAAAACAATATGTTTCAAAAACAGTTTTTTCAATAATATTTTTAAACTGCTATTTTTTGTGGCAGTTATTTCAATTTTTTTTCAAAAACAATATATTTCAAAAACAGTTTTTTTAATATTATTTTTAAACTGCTATTTTTTGTGGCAGTTATTTCAATTTTTTTCAAAAACAATATTTTTCAAAAACAGTTTTTTTTGAAAACAATATTTTTCAAAAAAAATTTTTTTTGAAAACAATATTTTTCAAAAACAGTTTTATTTTCGAAAACAAATTTTTTAAAAATTTTTATTCCAAACCAAAATTAAAAAAAAAAATACTTTTTTTCGAAAACAATATTTAAAAAAAATCGAAATTATCTTTCAAAAACAATTTATTCGTAAATTTTAAAGTTTTATTTTTTTTAAACAGTTTTATTTTAGAAAGCAATATTTTTCAAAAACAGTTTTATTTTCGGAAACAACGTTTTCCATAAACATTTTTTTTTCGAAAACAATATTTTTCAAAAGACAGTTTTATTTTCGAAAACAAATATTGACAATGTCTGAAATTATTTGTGAAAATAAAATTTTTATTCAAGAAAATTACATTTCTATTCTCTATCTCTATTTCTATTTCAAATCTATGTAACGAACAGTAGAAGTGAAAGAATTTTGATTTCTAATACGCTTAAGAAACATTTATCATCCATTTTGTGGCAGAACAGTAACTGTAGCCTGAAAATAATTTTTTTTCTATTTTTATAGAAAAATTATTTTTATAATACGTAATTCTCCGAAGTTTCAAAAATATGTTAGAGAATAGTAAAAAAAAAAATATATATATTTATTGTTCAGTTCATGTTCTGAACATTTTTCGGAAAAGCAAAAAATATTTTTGAACTTTCGGAATGACTGAAGCCAGGAGATATAAATTAATTTCGAAACTAATTTTTATTGCAGGCTTGAAAAACTATTTTTATTTTTGGAAAAATTGCTACTGAAATTTAAATATATGCCAATTTTGAAAATTATGTACAAAATATCAAATAAAATGGGCATATCGACAGTTAAAATACTGAAAAATTATTGTAAAAAATTTTCGAAAATTTTGGACTACTTGTTATTAAAAGAATCCGAACCAAAAATTGATGATGAGTTCGAAAAGCCTTTAATCAATAATTTTTAATTAATATTACAATTCAAAAATTAATATTAATTAATTTTATAGTTTTTAAATTCCACAATCTGAAATTTCAGAAATTATAGAAATAAGTTTCAGAAGTTCCAAAATCTTAAAACTAGATTTTTCATTATTATTTAGTTCGCATTTGGTAAGAAAAATTAGTTTTTGTGAAAATATTCGAATTTTAAGTAAAGATAACTTTAAGAAATATCAAAATAAGTTTTGCAGCCGAAACTGAAAAAAGTTCCTTACAATTGTCTTTATTTAATTTATTAAATTATTTTCATAATTCGAAAACCTACAAAAATTCAAATGCAAGTTTTAGATGCTCGAAAATAGTAAATCGTTTTTTTTTTTAATGTAGTATAAATGAATGCTACACACTTGGCTCGAAAAATGCTTTGAAAAAAGAGGTCATTTCATGTCAAAACAGTTCAGATTTCGAAAAATTCTTCTCAGTAAAATTTCCAAAAATTTTAAAATTTTGTTTTTTATTTTCAAAAATTAAACTTTATTTGAAAAAGTAAATTTTTTTTATTTATTCCTTTGAATGTATAACTTTGAGGGGTAATTTTAGTCTCCAGTAAATTTCAAAAAACCTTAGAGTACGAAAAGTATTTGAAAAATAGTAGTTTATTTTTCGAAAATTTTTTTTCGTGTTCTGAAAATCAGCGAATATTTCAAAAAGTCTTTTAAGCAAGCAATAATAAGAATTAAAGAATAAAAACAAAAGTTTTCGAAAGGTAAACAGAAGCAGCAGAACAAATTTAGTTTCGAAAAGTTTTGAAAAAAAAATTTTAGCACATTCTCATCAGTTAAATAGATTTTGAACCATTTGATTGGTCTTAAAAACTATTTCATAGTAGTATATAGTATTGAAAACTCTACTCTAAAAAAAAATTTCGAAGTCCAAATTGCAAATTAGTTTTTATTTTTTTTCTCAATTTCGAAAGTAATATATTTTAGTTGGAAATTTTCAAAATAGTCATAAGCAAAATTTTCTTCTTTTACTTTTACTTTTACTTCGTCCTTAACTGAATGGGATATAATCTTAAAAAAAAAAAATTTTTTTAAAGAAAATAATTTACAAAATTGGTTTTTCTACAACATAACGGCACAAAGAAAAAATTTTGTTTCAAAGAAAAACATAAAGCATAAATTGAGCTATACACGTATGCAAACTAAAGAAAAACTAAAGAAGAAGAAGCATATTTACAGCACCACTGGAAGCAGTAGCGAATTTTCGTACACACACACATACATATGTACAAGTATCTTTTTTTATAAGAAAAAAGAAGACAATGCTGGACACATACATATGTAAGTCAGTAAGTGTTACCCAAAAAAAAGCAACTACAACACCGCTTAGTGTTTTTTTTTTCTAACAGAAGAAAGAAACGAGCACTTTTTATATGTAGTAGTAGTTTGAGATAGGAATTTTTGAAAAACTAAAATTATTATATTTTTTTTTTGTATTTTTTGGTTTTTTGTTTTTGGACTACGCTTACAGCAACGGATGATCCATTTTTACCGCATCCTTCCGTCATAATCACACGCGTATAACGACAAACAAATAAAATGTAAATGCCGAATATAATGTAAAGTGATAGGACACGCACTTCCCAGCCAAGTAGGGGCAACTGTATCGCGTGGTGAATTTGGTAAATAACAAATTTGTTGGTTGGTTGCGTTGGCGGTGGTACATTGTACATAGTAGTAGTAGTAGCAGTAGTAGTAGTAGTAGTAGTAGTAGAAGTAGTGGTGGTGGTAGTAGTTGTGGTGGTTGGTGGTTGGTGGTAGTGGTGGTAGTTGATTGGTTATGATGTTTGAACGAGTTGATTTAGATGGTTGTTGGTAGTTGAAGGAAAAAGGCATTTTTATTTATAAAAAAAAAAAAACAAAAAAACAAATAAATTATGTTAAATTTTTTTTTAATAATTTAACATGGAAAAACAAAAGGTAGTGTTTAAAAGTAGAACTGTGTGTATAACGAAATTTGAAGTTTCTTTTTTTTGTTGCTGTGGTTTGCGTGTATAAATAAATAATTTAATTTTTTTAATATGAAATATTAAAAAATAAATAAAATTAATTTTCCAAGCATCATTAACTGATACTATAATACGATAAATAAAAAAAATTAAATAAATTTTTTTTACTAATATTATAATATTGTAAATTAAAAAAAAAACAAATTAAAAAATAATTAAATACTTTTTTGTAGAATTGTAAAAAATGAAATAATTAATTTAGTAATATTAAAATACTGCAAGCTAAAAAAATAACGGTTTAATATTTTTTATAAAACAATAAAATATTAAAATAATTCATTAACTAATATTATGAAAAAAAATATTAAAAAAAAAAAATTTAATGAAGTATAAAAAATTAATAAAATAGTTTTTCTAATCTTGTTTCACTTATATAGTTTTATAATATAATATAATATATAATAATAATATAATATAATTAAAAAAATATATAAAAAAATTTTTTTTTTCAAAACTCATTTAAAATTTTAAGTAATTTTTTTTTCTTAAAAACTCACTTAAGCAAGCTTACTGATATGTAACACTACATTTTAGTGTAAATTTCTACAAAACCAAAAAATATTATTAATAATTTACACCTAAGCTTTAGAAATACTAACTAAAAATCAAATTCACTGCTTCTTCTTAACAAAAATTTATGACTTAAAATAACGAACATCGTCAACCATAACAACTAAACTATGGAAATCTATTTCAATAAACATCTCGATTCAAGCTAAACGTATGAATATGTGCAAATGTTTGATGGGAAGCTTAAAAAATGGCTTTGTCTCTCCCACCCCTCATTCGTAGTAAAATTGTGATGTTGGTATGTAGGGATATGAGATTTTAAGGGCATATCCACCAAAAAGGCAAAATAAACACACAAAAAAAAAAATAAATAAAACATTAAAAAAATATTTATGATAGCAAGGGAAACTTCAACTGGAAGGAAAGTCAACACGTAGAGATTAATAAAGTTTGGTTTATTAAAATAAAATGTTTTTGATTCCAAAAAAGTCTATCCAATTAAGTTAAGTTCAACTAAATTAGCCGTTCAATCAAAATTACTATAATCTTGTCAAATATTTATTCAGAATTCATTTTTGAGATGTAATACTTTCGAAAAATTCGATTTTTTTCATTTAAAAAAACAAACTTTAATATTGCAAAAGTTACCAAGAGTTAAAAACAAAGAAATATTAAAATAAATTAAAACCCCTTTCAATCAATGAAGTAACGTTTAAGCACAAAAACAAAAGAAAAAATTAAAAGAAAATTAAAAAAAAAAATTTTCTAATTTTTGAAGCAGGTAATTTTTACATACATATTTATATGTTTGCAACACTTAAAAAAATATTTCAATAAAATTATAAAGTAAAATTATTTCATACGGAATTATTAAAATTAAAACATATTTCGAGAACTCGAACAATATTAGCTAATAACTAAAACATATATGTTTTAAAAGCCATTTTTTTTTTATTATTTCAGTAAGATATATTTTATATTTCTAAATATTTGAATTAAAAATTATTTCCAATTAATATTATTTTTTTACTGTATAATAACAAAAATGGATAAAAAAATTATTTTAAAGAAATTTAGAATATTAATATAAAAGTTGGTATACAAAATTGTATACTTAAAAATATGTACATATAAGTATTTTTTAATGAAGAATTTTTATTTTTCTCAAAAACTAATTTTTTACAAAATTAAAATACTTGTAATTTTTGGTATTGTAATTTTTGAAATTTTTAATTGCCAAGAAATAAAATTATACACATTTTACACGGCTATACATATTTACAATGAATAAATTAAAATCAAACTACATGTTGACCAACCTGCCCGTACCCTCTCAACCAGCGATTGAAGTTGATGAAAATTTATGTATGTATGTATTTTGGCGAATTTAAGGATTATAAAACGCTAGCAAACAATTTATTGATGACAAAACAATTAAATACTTATGTATGTATGTAGTATATATATATATATATATATATATATATATATTATTATCAGTGGTTAGTGGCGGCCCAAGAGCCAAGCGTTTTACGAGAGTTGCGTTATAATTTGATGGTGCTGCGCCTACAATAACAAAACACCCCATAACGATGCCGTTAAATTTACAGTGCTTTAATAAATACGCGTACGTGTTAGATTTAGCGCACAGATGTATGTATTTGTTTATTTTTTTTATATTAATTTGTGCAAAATGTTTTACAAAAAAGACGGTTTAATTTAGTGCTGTGATCATTAGTGAGAATTAAAAAAAAAAAACAGATATTAAAAAAAAATTTTTAATATTTTTTTTTTTTACAGAAACAGAACAAAGATTAGAGGGCTGTTTTGGTTTATTTGGTGTTAAAACATTTTTTTTTATTTAATTATAGACATATTTTAATTTTAATTTTTTTTTTTGTTTTTTTTTTTTTCAATTATGCTTACAGCAACGGAGGAACCATTCTTGCCACTGCCGCCTTCGATAAATATTTTCGAAAAGTTGATCATATTCGCGAGATAACCCAAAGTAATGCCGATTAAAATGATATAATTCCAACGACCGCCAATCAGTGGAATCTACAAAGTGTGCGTCGTGCGAATGTGCGTTTGCGCGCGTGTGTGTGTAGTTGGACATACGTCGTAGTACATGTATGTGTGTTCGTTTGTTTGTTTCGCAAAATATGCATAATTTTTATGCATTTTTTTTTATTATTTTTTGATTACACCGAAAAAGAAAATTGAAAAAAGAGAAAAAAGAAAGTGTGATAATTTTGAGTTTTTAACAAAACGTCTTTTTTTTCTCTATTTATTTTTTGTTACAGTGCCAAAATGGTTGTGTGGCTAAATGTTTTTTTTTTTTTTATCGAAGAATGCTGTAAAAATTAAAAAAAAAAATTAATAATGTGTGTTGTTATACTTAAAGTGTATGAAATGTTCAGCATCCCAAATTCAAATAACAACAAAGAACAAAAAATGAGAAACATAGAATTTTTTTTTTTAATAATGAAACTTTCGAATAAAATCGAACCAACGAAATAATTGTAAATAAATTGATTATCAGGTCTCTAAAGGGGTAATGATGCTTAACCTACTTGTAACTCTCTAAAATTAATTTTCCATTTTTATTAATTAAAAAAAAAAAAATAAAAAAATAGTTTTTACGATTGTTGTTAAGTGGATGGGTTAGAACCTGTTTAAAGGTTCATGTAATGTCGAACAGATAGATTACTGTCATTCATAGCTAACTTCAACAGATTAACTGGCAACTGCACAAGCCTCAAACAATCTGATGAGTTTACAAAAAAAAAAAAAAATTAAACAGGGAAAATTGGCAAAAAAAAAATTCCCGAAATAAAAAAAAATAAAATAAATGCATTAAGAGAACAAGAAAAATGTTAAAAAATAAATTATAAAAATTAAAGTGCAACCCTTAACCAAAAAAAAAATATATATATTTTTATTAATGTAAAAAGAAAAATAAGACTAAAACAATAAAACAGTAGAAATAAATAAAATAAAATACAAAATTAAAAAAAAATATTAATTAAAATGTAAAAAATAAAAGACAAAAAAAAATTAAAAAAAAAAATCCGAAAATACCAAAAAAAGTTAGTACTTCATGGAAAATACTAATAGTCAACTTAGATACAGCTATACATGTACATATATATATATATTAACAGACATTAAGAAAGTGTCACAGAGAGTATATACTAAATAACTTTGTCTTTGAGCAGTAAAAGAAAGGAATGTAATATGATAAGCAAACTTTCAAAACTAAACCAAAAATATTTATCGTTAGCTGTAACCATCATCATTTAATTGAAAATAAATTTAAAAAAAAAACGCTATTTTTATTACATATGCGTTTCTTCCTTCACTGCTCAAAGCCTATTTATATTATATTATATTATAAAATTTACCACTAACAAACCGTTTAAATAAATTTCTACAGTTAAATTAATTTAATATATTTTACTTGATTTTATAATTTATTTTTTTATTTTATTAATTTGTATTTTTATTTATTTTTTATTCCAATAATTTTGTATTTTACTGATTTGTTTATTTAATTTTTTTTTATTAAATTTAATTTCCTTTACATATTTCTTCTGTTTAATTTAATTTCATTTATTTTTTATATTAGTAATTTTATATATATAGATATATAATACAATTTTACTTTATCTCATTTATTTTATTATTATTTTTTAATTTCATTTATCATATTTAATTCAATTTAATTTATTATATTTTATTTACTTACTTTTATTTTATTTCATTTCATTTATAATATTAATTTTTTAATTTAAATTATATGTATTTAATTAAATTTTGTTTTATTTAGTTTTAATTTAATTTATTTAAGTGTTTTTTACATAGATTTTATACTATTTTTTTTTTAAATTTTATTTAATTTAATTATTTGATTCTGTTTAATTTATTTTATTTATATTATTAATTATATTTACGTAATTTAATTTTGTTTTTTTTTAGTAGAAATTAATTTTAATTATTTAAATTAAATTAAAAAATATAATTAATTCTATTTTAATTTGGTTTTCCATTTAATTTAATTTTCTTTTACTTTATTTAAAAGAATTTCTAAATAGATTTTATACCATTTTTTTAAATTTTTATTCAATTTAATTGAAACTTATTTTATTTTGTTTAATTTATTTTATTTCATTTCATTTAAAATATTAGTTTTTTAACTTAAATTAAATTAATTTAATTTTGTTTTATTTTATTATAACTTAATTTCATTTATTTAAATTAAATAATAATATATACTTAATTCTATTTTAATTTAATTTAGTTTTTCATTTAATTTAATATATAATATAACTTTTCTTTATCTAATTTATTTTATTATTTTGTTTTTATTTCATTTATCATATTAAATTCAATTTAATTTATTATATTTTATTTAATTACTTTTATTTTGATTCATTTCATTTATAATATTAATTTTTTAATTTAAAGTATAAGAATTTAATTAAATTTTGTTTTATTTAGTTTTAATTTAATTTATTTAAGTGTTTTTTACATAGATTTTATACTATTTTTTTTTTTTTAATTTTATTTAATTTAATTATTTGATTCTGTTTAATTTATTTCATTTATATTATTAATTATATTTACTTAATTTAATTTTGTTTTTTTTTTAGTATAACTTAATTTTATTTATTTAAATTAAATAAAAAAAATATAATTAATTCTTTTTTTTATTCAATTTTTAATTTAATTTAATTTTCTTTTACTTTATTTAAAAGAATTTTTACATAGATTTTATACTATTTTTTTTTAATTTTTATTTAATTTAATTGAAACTTTTTTTGTTCTGTTTAATTTATTTTATTTTATTCCATTTAAAATATTAGTTTTTTTAAATTAAAATAAATTAATTTAATTTTGTTTTATTTTAGTATAACTTAATTTCATTTATTTAAATTAAATAATAAAATATAATTAATTCTATTTATTTTAATTTAGTTTTTCATTCAATTTAATTTTCTTTTACTTTATTTAAAAGAATTTTTACATAGATTTTATACTATTTTTTTAATATTTATTTAATTTAATGGAAACTTATTTTATTTTGTTTAATTAATTTTATTTTATTCCATTTAAAATATTAGTTTTTTTAACTTAAATTAAATTAATTTAATTTTGTTTTATTTTAGTAAAACCTAATTAAGTTTAAATTAATTTAATTTATTTAAAAGTATGTAAAATATATTTAGTTCTATTTTAATTTAGTTTTTCATTTAATTTAACTTTCTTTTATTTTATTTAAAATAATTTTTACATAAATTTTATTTTTTTTTGTTTTTATTTCATTTTTTTTGTTTAATTAGTTTTATTTTACTTTATTTAAAACATCATTCTTTTAATTTCAGTTGAAATAATTATATTTTTTACTTCATTTTATTTTTTTACTTAATTTTAGATATGTTTTTTATCTAATTTTTTTATATTACTTTATCTAACATTTTACTTAATTGTTTTGTTTTATTTAATTTTTTAATTAATTTAATTTTTTTATTTTATTTTATTTTTTATTAATTTAATTCTGCTCTTTTATTTTATTAAATTTTTATATTTTTTTATATTTCATTATAATTTTATTATAATTCATTTTAGCTTTGTTAATTTTATGAAGTTTATAGGGGAAAACACATGTGTTATTAATATGTATTGTATAAAGTATATAATTGTTTATAGTATGTTTATACATAGTTTACTATATAATTTAATTAGCCATCATAAGCATCATAAGTTTGTCTAAATTATCGCATTCCCTAATGTAAGTTTTTTTTTGTTTTTGCTTGTATATAAAACAATGTGTGTTAACTTACTGTTATTTTTAACAATATTTTTTTTAAAAAATAAATACTTTGAAGCGAATAAATTAAGGGGAAAAAAGCGTAGGAATAATTAATGTTTTGTTTTTATTAAAAAGGATAAATTGATAGGTGTACGAAAAATATTTTTTTGGATCCAAATGTTTGGTAGTACATACAAATATATGTTAGGTAGATTTTAAATAGGTATTTGGTAAAAAGCATATAAATTTTTAACCTCTTAACTTTGTATTCAAGACGAAATAAACTTGATTTATACACTAAATTGTTATATTTTATTTAGAAAACTTCTTGCGCATGTATTTTCTGAAGTAGACATTTAATTATTTATTTGTTTTAACAAGCAATACTTTTAAAATATTACAAATTTGATAGAAAAATTATTTGATGTAATTTTTTTTATGAAAGATTTGTAAAATTTATATTTGAATAATTAATAATTAAATTAAATGAAAATAATTTTCATGAAAGGTTTGCAAAATTTAAATTTGTTATTGTAAAATGTAGCTTAAAAAATCTTATTGAATATATTTTCGATGTATGTATTCAAGTAATTAAAATATTGAAATTTAATATGAAAAAAATTTTATAACTTTATGGAAAAAGATAGCCAAAATGCTTGGATTTAGCGAAAAGTCTAATTGAAAAAAGCAAATTTTGATAAAAAAAATCAAACAAAATATATATATAAAATATATATATATATATAATATAAAAATAAACTTCTGATTTTTCGGTATTCGCAATCAAATACATACGCACATCTTTCAACAATGCAAATTAATTAATTTTAAGGTTTATTTAAACAAAGTGGCGCCTCAAACGCAGGCATGCTATGCGTAATCGTATGTTTAAATGCGCTCTGAACGATTTTAAAAATGTTTTTGCGCACTAAATTGCACAAACGATTTGACACTAAGATGGGAAAATATGTCTTGAAGAATTATGGCAAAGTTTTTTTTGATAGCTTGTTTTTACAATTTCACTCTATTTAAGCGCTTTCTATTTATATTAAATTCTCTATTCGCTAATTACGCTGTCTCGTTACTGCTTTTTTGATCAAATATTTTTTGTTTTTGTTTTTGTTTTTGCTTTTGTATTCTTCATTCCTTCAATATTGATAAGTATTTTTCAAATGATTTCAATACTTAAAACAAACTTACTGCAACTGTGGAGCCATTCTTGCCAACACCGCCAGCCAAAACAACAGAGAATATAAACCATAATGACCAAATACCACAAACTAAGGTCATTAGCGATAAGGTGGACCACAATTCAAAATTACCAAACATCTAAAGGGTATATATTTATAATAAATTTATATATGTATATATATGCATGTATGTAAATATGTTTGTATATTAAGAGCAGCGTTCAATAAAGTCATTTTTGAGAATTATTTTTATTAATTCCAAAAATAAAATTAAAAAAAAAAAATAACAAAATGATGGCATTTTATGTGAATAAAAAATGTTTAATAAATAATATATTTTTTAATGTTGTGAATATGGTTTAATTTTGTTTCCTTCACTTTGAAGCAAAATTTTCAATTTAGATGTCAATTTTACAAGCAAATTTGCGCGGGTTAGTCAAATTACCTAGTTATGTATGCAGTATGTAGGCATGTCATGTATATATAAGATGATGAATTTTCGTAAATAAATTTAGAATTTCACATACATACAAGTTTTTTTTACTTATAAAAAAATTTTACTTTAGTTGCCAACAACTTAACACTTTTCAAAATACTTAAATTCCTGAGACTAAAATATAATATAGGCCGAAAGGGATAAGAAAAAAAAACAAAAATACACATTAACATAAATACATAAATATGTTATATAAAATACTGAAAAAAATGTAATTAAATACAACGGTGTGCGAGTTAAATGTAAAAAAAAAATATTGTTTTTTTTTTTTTTTAAGAAACTTCAATTTGTGTACAAAAATAGCAGTTCCTAAAAATAAATAAAGAATTTTTAAAAATTTTCTTTGGAATGTTGCGGTTAAAAGGCGGCAGGTGCAATTTTTTAAATTAAATTTATTGCATTTTATTGCAAGTGACTTTTGAAGGACTATCGAAATTGTTCAAAACATTATTACTCATTTAACACTAATCGCGTAAGAAATTGCTAAAATGTGTATTTCAAAACAATTTTTCAATTTTAACCAATGTTTGAAAGTGATCACTAGACTTTTTTCAAACTTTGACTTTCTAATGACTTTTTAATGTGTAAAAACTAATTTTTAATTACTACTAAACAACTCCGAAAAGTTCGATTTACTCCGAAAAACTCCGAAAATTTTATATTTACTCCGATAACCAAAAATGTGTTTTTATAAGCTTGACTACTGCGGTGCAATAAAAATCCAAACAAATTACTTTAGCGATTAGAAACGCGGTGTTTTAATACCTTCTTTCTTTTTTGAATGTAATGAAATCTATTGCTTATCAGTGTTTTTTTTTTTCAAACTTTTACTTTCTAAAGCATAAAAACAAATTTTCGGTCAAAACTAAACAATTTTGAAATTTTCACATTTACTCCGAAAAACTCCGAAAAATGTACATTTACTCCGATAACCAAAAATGTGTTTTTATAACGTTTTTTTTTTAACTTTTACTTTCTAAAGTATAAAAAAAATTTTTGTCAAAACTTGAAAACTCAAAAATTTTCATATTTACTCCGAAAAACTGCGAATACGTAAATACGTATATTTTATATTTATTTAGCAATTACCGAACTTACCCCTTAACATAACCTATGTTTAGCTATGTACATTGGTTGTATAGGAATCTATTGTTTATTATTACAAATTTTACTTTCTAACAGCCTTTTAGTGTAAAACAGTGTTTTTAATTACTCCTAAACAACGCTGAAATGTTTTATGTTTACACCCAATAACTTCGATTTTTTTAAATTTACAACGAAAAACTCCGAATGTGTTTTTGAGTAAGTATGTCGACTCGCGGTACATTTTTCAAAACTTGAGTTAAAACTGTTCACCTCTCAGCCGCACACTCCGAATTCGTACATATGTACGTAAGTAAAAAACTAGAAATTTTTTTTTAATAAAATCAAAAAAATTAACGTAATCATACCCGCGTTTGCCACACTTCCGAACCGAATACGGCCGAAATAACATGTATAGCCATAATGGTGAATTGTGCTTCCGTCACATCGATTTTGCCAAAACGCAAAGTGCCCGAAACGTACGTCTGCCAGTGGGCGCAGTAAAATAACCCAATGGCACAGAAACACTGCGAGAGAGAAATTAGTTTTTTATTTTAATTCAAGACTAAGGAACACTTAAAATGTTTCTACGCACCTGAAAGAACAACCAATTTGGATATTGTCCCAGTTGGCAGGATATACACGCCGAGAGCGCTACGAAAACGGTCGATATGGAATCGCAACCATGATCGAAGAGTTCACCCAAAGGTGATGAGGTATTTGTGCGACGCGCCTGTTTACCATCGATCGAATCTAAACTCTGATAAACGAACAGACCGAAGGCGCAGAGGAGGCTGGCCCAGCCGGGTGGTGATGATTTGCCATCGGGACTGTAGCTGTAGATTGGAAGAGAGAGAGGGAGAGTGTAAAAACGAGCAAAAACTTTATATCTTTTAAATTATATGGGTATGGTAAATAAATATGTAGTTTGAACGTATTTATGTAATATTAATCTGAAAACTGAGATTTTTCAATAACCAATCGAGAAATCTTAAATTTTTGCACGCTCCGTGTGGCGAAACAGCTTATTTATTCCCAGTGCGTTTACTGTATGTTCTCACTTTTCGACTAAACAATTTCATTTTTCAATAAATAAACCTCACTGCTTTTTATTTTTTAATTAACAATAATATTTATATTCTGCTTTTCCGCTGCCGGTTAAAGAACTTGCATTCCAGACAACACCAATAAAACAAAGAGTGATTTAGTCTCTTTTTTCACTTATACAGTTGAGAGTATAAATATTTGTGTATTAAGTTCTGCGGAAAAGCAATGATTTCAAAATAAATAAATTATGATTTTTAAACAAATAAAGAAATAAATTTATCCGACATAAGGATTTATTTTTCAAAAGTTACTTTTGAGTTACTCCGAAAACTTCGAAATGTATGCATATAACATGGTTCACTTGAAAATATATATTTATATTTCAGTGTCTCAAATTTGAAACTTAATTTTTGAGTTTTCGAAATTACTCCGAAATTTTTCGAAAATTCCAAAATGGATACTATAATCTAGTTTAATTTAATATATAATTAAAATTTATTTAAAAAATTTCGTAACTTGAGTTTTGAGTTTTCGAAATTACTTAGAGAATGTTCAAAACCTCCAATATGTACGCAGCTATGTTTGGGTTAGCTTTCAAATATATTGAATTGTTTAAAAAATTCTGAGCTACATACTTCCAACTACAATAAGTAGTTGTTTTAAAATTCCTAAGAAGTTTTTCGCAATGTCGTTAAATGTACTATATACATATGTACCTACAGTAGTAATATTTTTTCTCTTTTGAAAAAAGCAAGATTAAGTAACTCCGATATTTTCGAAAATTTTGGGTACTGGAATTTTAAGATTTAATTATTTTAGTGATGTTTACATTCGAAAATGTAAAATTGAGTACTCCGAAAGTTTTTGATGCTCAAAACTGAATAATTTTTTCCTGTTTTGAGTTGTATATCTTTCGAAAATGCTAAAACAAGTTACTCCGAAAAACTCCGAAAGTTTTTGATGCTCAAAACTGAATAATTTTTCCCTGTTTTAAGTTGTATATCTTTCGAAAATTCTAAAACAAGTTACTCCGAAAAACTCCGAAAATTTTCTGTGCTGAGAAATTTAATATTTTTTCTTAACAAGTATTACCTAAACTGTTAACACAAAAAACAACATTTAAAACTGCTTCAAAATGCATGGCTTTTCAATTTTTCTACTTTTTATTAAACCCAAAAACAAATCAGACAAAAATTCAAAGCGCTATTACATTTATAACTAGGTTAATGTATTATTCAACATTGACAATGCAACCCCAGCAACAGAGCCAATGTCAGCAACGTTCGAAAATTGACACCGGCAATGCGCGCCAAAAACAAAACGCGCAAACACTACCGGCTGGGCTGAGCAAAAGCAATTTCTAATAGAACAGAGAGCAAAGTAGAAAGAGTGAATGTATGCTTTGTATGAAAGCAAACAAACAAACAGAAAAGAGAGCAAAAGGGAAAAATATGTGAAAACAAAAATTGACACAACGGCAAAAGCCGGCAAGGCAAATAAGCGTATATAACTACTAATAAGGCAAAATAAATAAATGTCTACTGAGCACACATGTACAACATACTCGTATATGTACGTATGTATGTATGTATGCAAAAGTAACGCTTAGAAATGCCGGTAAACATTGAAATGCGGCGACGCTAAACCACTACATAACCTCCTAAGCTAAGTGGGAGGTTATCAGTTGAATGTGGCTGGTACTGAAAGTGTTTGTGTTTGTGTTTGCAATTGGAAAAGTGCAAAGTGCAATGGGTTCTGCTCTTTAGCAACGAACAAAATCAGCTTGTTAATGCTGATTTATTTATCGTTGTTAAATAGTTAAATAAAAAATGCGCAGCTAAAATCAGTAGTGGCATATACATGCATACATACACGTATGTATGTATATGAATGAGATAATCTTTTTTTATTAGTTCCATACATTTTGAAAAGAAGAATTGTGAAGAGGACCCAAAAACCAAGTATACTGAGTATTAATCGAAAAGAAATGCAAAAATCAGATCTAGTAAAAAGTCATCCATTATATTTGCATTAAATTAAAGACTTTATTTACCATAGTTAGAATTACACGATTTATGTCAAACACGCATCGTTTTGCTCGATTACCTTTTGTCATTTTGAAGGTAATATCGTTGTGCCTCTCTCATAGAGACCTCCAGACCTACATCAGCCAAATCATTCGCCATAGACAAGAACAGATGCTAATAACTTGGTGCGAGGTCTGTATTTTAAGGTGGCTGCATATGAGCCTCGCAACCAAGCTCTCGGAGCTTCTGGCGAGTCACTAACGATGTGTGTGTGATCTGGCGTTGTTTTTATGAAATACAATTCCTCTTCTGTTGTCCAAAACTGGGTGCTACTGCGTGTTTGGTTCCTTCAGCCGGTCCAATTGCTTACAGTACAGCTCCGAATTAAGATTTTGGTCGTAGGGAAGTAGCTCATCGTGATTAATTTCTTACCAATTACGTACCAAACACACAGATAAAACCTTTCTGTCCATCAAACCTACCTAGGTAGACTGTTTGTGCCGTCTCACTGCCCTTCGGCGTTACCACATCCTCAACAAAAATTTCAAAAGTCTTTGGCAAACTTATTAATTTACAATTCTTGCGCAAAATACACCGCAGACTTGTGAAGACAACTACGACAATTACACTAGTGTAAACTTGACTACACGCGCCTTGTATCACTCTGACTGCCTTATCAGCACTTGTAAATATGTAAGTTACCCAGTGGACCCCCTCTTATGTTTTGTGACGTCGAAAAAAGATCGCCTGATGTTATCAGTTCTTTCGCACTTGCCAAGCGTAAACTACGAGGCAGATGAAGCAAAACTCATTGCAAATATGTATATATATATATGTATGTATATACAAATCAAAACTGATAAAGAAGCCACTGCAGGCAAACAAAAAATAAGCATAGCGTCGTAGTCTTAAATTTATTACGTGTACAAAATGAATAAATGACTTTCGTACACCGACTGATTTCACCGTAAATTAAATGAATAAAATAATAAAAGAAACCGCTAGGTACAGATGGTCGTGTGCAGAGTAATCACAGCTACAATGCTACCTTCATAACCAGCTGGACGAAGAATTATCGGCTCGATTTCCATGTGAAAGTTATTGGTGTGAAAACTCCAACTTTAAATAATACGAAGTTATTGGGAGTCACATTCGACAGGCTGCACTTCTACACTCCGCTTACGACTTAATTATCACAAAACTCCAGAGCTCCAACAAAATCCTCAAAGCGTTAGCCGGCAGCACCTGGGGAAAAGACAAAGAAAACATGCGGACGGTCCTAAAATATGTTGCTCTGATCTGGGCTTCAGGAACCAGCGGACGCAAGTGAAGCTGATAGCTTTAGCCTGCGCAAACACCACCCTCAGCACCGTGACCGGAAACCTTCTGATGTCGCAAGAGCATCACTTGCACAGCGAAGCATCTATGCTACGATTAGTCGAGTGGTTAACACCCCGGAACGTGCGGAGGCTTCGATTCCTGACTCAGACCAATATTCAAAATTGTAGACGGTTTAGAATAAGCTAAATAACCACACGCTATGAATTGGAGAAGGAGCCCGGGCGGAAATAGCTTTAGCTTAATTATACCTTATAAGTTTGTTTAACGACGTGCGCGAAGCTGGAACATGAAAAAGCTGGACCTACCGTTTAAAAGAACTTCATAACTTATTACTTTATTTGCCAAAGAGACAAATTTTCCGGAATGTACTCGTATTCACTAAATGAGAAAATCCCTTACATTCTCAAAACATAAGGTTCGAAAAGAAAAGATCAAAGTGGCGACTGAAAACAAATAAAGTACAGTTATAACGGTAGGAGTACTTGCAAGTCATTGTTACTGCCAACTACATTTTGGTATGATAATAATTTTGCTTCTATATTTTTTGGTACTCAATCAAAGGTAAAAAAAAAGAAAAAAAATTTAACGCAAACAACTGAAACCCGTCTAATGCTTTTAGCTTGTTTTTGTGAGTAAGAAGTACTAGCGAAAGGCATTGGAGCATTGACTTTTGCCAAAAGAAAAACAGCAAAAAAGTTAGATAAGATAAAAATGTCTATGAAATTTAATCAAGAGAAACAATTTAGGCGACGGATTTTAATCACGATGATTTTCATAAAATATTTTTTTTTCTATATTTTTTCACATTAATTTAAATACTTTTTAAAAACCGTTTTCTAGATATTAACTTAATAGATATTACAAGCTTTTGGAGTGAATTGTAAATAATAGGATAAATATGGGTACAACATACGTATACGTAACATTATAATTTTTACTTGTAAAAATTAGAACTTTTTCGCTGAAAATTCAAAGAAATAAATAAAATTTTTAGAGGAAAATGTATATTAAAAATAGCAACTTGGTATTATTATTATATATTTTTGATTTGAAAATAGATAAATTATGATTTTTAAACAAATAAAGAAATAAATTTATCCGACATAAGAATTTGTTTTTCAAAAATTACTTTTGAGTTACTCCGAAAACTTCGAAATGTATGCTATAACATAGTTTACTTGAAAATATATATTTATATTTCCATTTATCAAATTTGAAACTTAATTTTTGAGTTTTCGAAATTACTCCGAAATTTTTCGAAAATTCCAAAATCGATACTATTGTATGATCTAGTTTAATTTAATATATAATTATAATTTATTTAAAAAATTTGGTAACTTGAGTTTTGAGTTTTCGAAATTACATATTTTTGACGTAATTTTCTCATAGTTAGAATAATTTTAGTGGTACAATGCGTATAC